CACTTTCCTTTGTTCTATAATATTTATTAAAAGAACTTTGTCATCCATTTAGTACTTTTCCTTTTAGTTTTATTATCTTCTCTGTTGTTTTATTTGCCTGTGCTTTTTCTTCCCTCCCCCCCATTCCTGTCACTTAATTTGTGACTCCTCCCTCTTTGCCTATAGGTACGGTGGGGCCAGGCGGAAAAACTATCTCAGCCTCCTGCCACACAGGGGATTAAGTGTATACTGACTTGAGTCTCTGCCTCAAATAGCTTTTGGGGCAGGAGGAGGGGGCAACTAGAGTAGCCCTAGCTAAATTTTAGTTTCCTTTTCAGACTCAGTGCTACCCAACTCATATTGCTTCCTTGCCCCAGATCCTCCCTTCATTTTTGTACTTTCTTTCATTGGTTGACCCTAATAAGGATCTGCCCAGCCTCTATAGCCTTAATTGGGGCAGGGGGAGGGGAACAGTGTGATAAAGTGTGAGGTGAAATGATATAAGGAGGGATCTCAGCATAGTTCCCAGAGCCAGGCTTTCCAGTTGATTTGTACCTCAGTACCAGGAGCCTTGTGGCTTATAGAGGGGAGAAGGAAGACCTTTAAAGATTAGCTTTCTTGTATGTTAATTCCTGAAGGCTTCTTTCTTTTGCGGCCCCCCCCACGATTCAACTTTAATTACTATAATATTGGCATATAATTTACTTTTTGTATTTTTTTTGAGAGTCAGTGGGGATTAGGAAAAGTGTTTAGTCTGCCATATTCCTTAGTATGTTACCCAGTACTTTAAAAACTTGCCTTGATAGACCCAGTATATATTCCAGTAACTTAGACATTAAAAAACCGTTGGGAGAATGGTTTGGTTTTGTAGTAAAAAGGTAGAAAATCACAAAATGTCTGGGCTGACAGAAGGGGAAATTTTTTTAAAATGGAAGATAATTAACATAATTAGCTAATTTTGAGTTATATTTTAAAAAAAACAAGCAAAGGAAAACTATCAGAATATTGGGATGTAGGCACATGAGGGGTTTACTTAGTAGAGTGTAGGGTCATTGATAATGGGTTGGGTTTTTTTTTTCATTTCAGTATTTGCATCCCTAGAGTCTAAAAAATAAGGCTTACTAATTTTTTTAAAAGTTAGATGATTCTCTAACTTTAATAAACATCGTGTGAAATATCCAATTGAATATTTGTTTCTTCACATAGTTCTTATGAACAGACAAGAAAATTCCAACTGATTCTGTGTTGAACAGCGTAACCAATGATTTCAGGATAGAAGAATGTTGAATTTGATACTATAGGAGTTATGAGATCCCTGAAGAAGTGTGACTACTAAATTTAAAGTGGTGAAGCTTTAAAACTGAAAGGCCTTGATGTTACTACTGTTCACTAAGAGGTTAAAGCAAAAGCAGTAATCAAAGGAAAATTCATATCTCTAAATCAACAAAATAGAGAAAGAACAGACCAATTAATTGGATATGTGATTTTAAAAAAACTTTAAAAAGCAACCTAAAAATCCCCAATTAAAACACTAAATTGGAAATCCTAAAAATTAAAGGTGAGATTAATAAAATTGAATATAAGAAAACCATTGAATTAATACAACTAGGAATTGGTTTTGTGAGGGGAAAAAACAATAAAATAGATAAGGCATTGGTTAATAATATGATTTTTAAAAAGAGAAAACCAAATCATTAATATTAAAAATGAAAAGGTGAATATACCACTAACAAAGATGAAATCAAAGCAATTATGAGGAATTGTTTTGCCCAGTTATATGCTAACAAACTCAACAATCTAAGTGAAATGGAAGAATATATACAAAAATGTAAACTGCCTAGATTAGCAGAAGAGGAACTAGAATATCTAGATAGACCTATTTTAGAAAAAGAAATTGAACATACCATAAGTGAGCTTCCTGAGAAAGAAGATCAGCACCAGATGGATTTACAAATGACTTTCCACCAAACATTTAAAGACCAACTAATTCTAGTGTTAAATTAATTATCTGGAATAATAGGCAAAGAGAGACATGTATGATATTGACCAGGAAGAGTAAAAAAGAGAAAGAAAATTATAGACCAATTTCATTAATGAATATGAATGTAAAAATTGTAAATAAAATTCTAGTTAGGAGATTACAACAGATTGTACATTGTGACCAGGGGAATGCAGGGATGGTTTAACATAAGGAAAACTATTAATTGATTATATCAATAATAAAAGTAACAATAATCATATGATTATATCAGTAGCTACAGAAAAAGATTTTGATAAAATACAACACTCGTCTATTAAAAACATGTCTATTGAAAAAGCATAGATATAAATAGATTTTTTTTCTTAAATTGATAAGAAGCATTTACCTAAAACCATCAGCAAGTATAATTTGTAATGGGGATAAGCTATAAGCCTTCCCAGTAAGAACTGGTATGAAACTAGGATGCCCACTGTCACCAATATTATCCAATATTCTATTGGAAATCCTAGCAATAGCAATAAGAGAAGAAAATGAAATGAAAGGCATCAGAATGAGCAATGAGGTAATAAAACTCTCTTTTCGCAGACAGTATGATGATATACTTGGAAAATCCTAAAGACTCAACTAAAAAGTTAGTTGAAACAATAATTTTAGCAAAGTGGCAGGATATAAAGTAAACCCACATAAATCATCAGCATTCCTATATATCACTGATAAAATCCTGCAGGGAGAAATAGTAAGAGATACCCCATTTAAAATAACTGTAGACAGTATAAAATACCTGGGAGTGCATCTGCCAAAACAAACTCAGGAACAATATGAACCAAATTATAAAAACTTCTCATAAAAATAAAATCAGATTTAAATAATCAGAGAAATATTAATTGTTCCTAGGTAGGCAGGGCTGATATAGTAAAAATGACAATTTTGCCTAAATTATTCTATATATTCAATGCTATCCCGATTAAATTACAAAAAAAAATGAACAAAATTCATCTGGAAGAACAAAAGGTCAAGAATGTCAAAGGAGCTAATAAAAAAATGTAAAGGCAGGAGGTTTAGCAGTATTACATCTAAAACTATATTATAAAGCAGTTTTGATTATCAAAACTTTGGTACTGGCTAAGGAATAGAAAGGTAGATTAGTGGATCAGAGTAGACATACAATTTTACAGCAGCAAATGACTATTGAAACCTTGTGTTTGAGAAGTGTAAAGTTTTGGGGATAATAATTCATTATTTGGTAAAAATTGTTGGGAAAGCTGGAAAGCAGTTTGGTAGAAATTGCGCATAGACCAATATCTTACACCATTTACCAAGATTAGGTCAAAATGTGTACAACACCTGGATACAAAATACAAGAAAATTTGAAGAACATGGAACATAATACTTATCAGACTTATGGATAGGTAAAAAATGTATGAATAAACAAGAGATAGAGTATTGGGAGATATAAAGTGCATAATTTTGATTACATTTAATTAAAAAGGTTTTGTACAAATAAAGCCAGTGTAACCAAGATCAGAAGGAAAGCAGAAATTTGGGAAACAATTTTTGGACAGTTTCTCAGATAAAGGTCTCATATCTCCAATATATATAGAACTTTATAAAATCCATAAGAATACAAGTCATTCCCCAATTGATAAATGGTGAAAGGATATAAACAGGCAGTTTTTTGAAAAAGAAATCAAAACAATTTATGGTCATATGAAATATGCTCTAAATCATTATTGATTAGAGAAATACAAATTAAAACAACTTTGAAATATCATTTTACATGTATCAGATTGACTAAAATGATGGGGGAAAGTGACAAATATTGGAAGGGATATGGAAAAATTGGGACACTGATTCACTGTTGGTGGAACTGTGAAGTGATTCAACTATTTCAGAGAGCAATCTGGAATTATGCCCAAAGAGTTATTAAACTGTCTATACCCTTTGACCCAGCAATACTGCTATTAAGTGCATGTCCCAATATGATTAGGGAGAAAGGAAAAGAACCTATATTTTCTAAAATACTATAGCAGTTCTCTTTGTGGTGGCAAAGAACCAGAAATTGTGAAAATGCCTATCATTTGGGGAATGGCTGAAAAGGTTGTGGTATAATGATTGTGATGGAATACTACTCTGATATAAGATATTATGAGTTCGATGATCTTAGAAAAACATGGAAAGACTTGCATGAAATAATGAAGAGCGAAATGAGCAGAACCAAGAGAACATTGTATACATTTAGCAGCAATATTGTTTTAAGAACAATTTGGAGCAACCAAGTCATTTTGGCTATTATAAATGCCCAAACTAACTACAAAGGACCTATGAAGGAAGATGCTATCTGCATCCTGAAAAAAAAACTGATAAGTAGAAGTATACATATACATAAGTATATGTACAAAGTTTTTACATACATAGACGTATTTGTGTCTAGTGGTAGCCATCTCTAGGTTGGGGAGGAGGGAAAAATTTACATGATAATTTTATTATATATTAAAAAGGAAAAAGCAAGTTGTTCATAAGAGATTTGCGGTTTAGTGTGCAGTCTTTTTTTTTTCTATTCTACTAAAAAAAATCCTACACTTGTAGTCCCCTGCCTCTGCAAGGGAAAAAGGCAAACTTTCTTAACTCCTCTCCAGGACCAAGTTAAATGATTTTAATTATCAAGTGTTTAGCTTCTTTTGTAGTTGTTGTTTTGTTTTTCTTTTTCATTTACAGGGTTGTAGTCATTGTATATGTTGTTTTCATGGTTAAGAGACCTGATTTTCATATCTGTTCACCTCTCCTTCCCTGCCTTCTCCTCTCCCTAAAGCATGCTATTTTAGGGCAGTAATGTCTTTTTGGTAACCTCTAATGTCTAACTCAGTGACTTGAACATGGTAGGTGCTTCAGTAAATCTTTTTTGAAGAGATAGTCCCTGACTCAAGTGACACATTTATAATTGAATAAGGGGGATATGAATCTTTTTCAAATTAAAGGGTGTCATTTTATTTTTTATTCCTAACATACTGTCCTTTGGGATTTGGCTGTCTGTTTTTTATAGTGTAAGAATTCTAATGGCTGGAAACAAAGGACGAGGACGTGCTTCTTTTACCTTTAACATTGAGGCTATTGGTTTTGCTAGAGGTGAAAAGTTACCTGATGTGGTATTGAAACCTCCACCACTATATCCTGTAAGTATCCCAGCATGCCATTCTACTCTTTTGGATCAGGTTTCAGACCTTCCTAAGGTTCAATATTCATAGATAATTTATTAATACTGATTATTTCCATTCTCCTTATGCACGTGTTCTTTACCATAAAACAAAATGCATAGGATTGCAAAGGGAATCATTCATATTTGAAATGCGCTTATTAATTTTTTTTTAAGTTCGTGGACTCCCAAGTTAGAACTCATATAATATTGGAAGAGATTCCAGTTTAGCTTTCTTACTTTTGTTGAATTAGTTCATTTGTTCCCTCTCAACCGATTTCAGTTTCTAGACAGCCTTCTTTTGGTCTAGAAATATGATTTCATTACTTGGGGAATTACTGGTATAGAAACTACCTCCACCAGTGCAGATGAGCAACTTGTCTATAATTTTATAGTCTTGAGAGTTAACTGGGACTCTAGGAGGTTAGTTGACTTGTCTGTGGTAACAAGGTAGAAGGTGGCAGAGGACAAACCCAAGTCTTGCTAACTAAAAGACCTATTCCTCCATCTACTATGCCACACTGCCTTTCTTAAAATGCATTATTTTTAAATATGTGGGGAAGGTTGGTAGAGGATTCAATTAAGGATCCAAATAGTACTGAAATATAAGGATTGTATCCTTTACACGTCTACATGTTTTACTCTTTGCTAATACAAGTATTTCCAAATCATAATCAATTTTATAGTTCTGCTTGTCAAGTTGCATTCAAATTGTTATATATGACAACCATGTTTTTTTGGGGGGCAGGGGGGAGGAGAGCTGTACTTTTACTTATATACTCTATCTTGTATATATAAAATTTTATTTTTGTTCCTAAATATACTAGTTTAACTAATTATCTAATTTATTTTCTTTTGCAAGTTAGCGTGGTATCACAATGTTGGAATTATAATTGTCCAACCTACAATAAAAGAGACTGAGGCAGAGCTCTGAGCCAATTGGACTAATGAAGTGGACCTCAGATCTTCCTCATGATCTGAGATACCCCCTTCTTCTAGGGCTTTATTTTTGTAAGGCTTGTTACCAGATTTGGTGCCTAAACATTCTTAAGAGGCTATACAAAGTACAGGATCCCTTTGGTTGATAGATCTTGCTTTGCAGGCCAAAAAATGATGCATCAGCTTGAAATGGTCTGTTAGTGGGGGGCAAAGGAGAGGGGTCTCAGGTTGGGTGAAGCACGGGGCATCACCATTGACTGAGTGGTCATAAGATGGCCTATCTGCTCGTACTGGACAAGAGAGAATGGTCTGGAGGTACAAAAATAAGTTGAGGGACTTTCCATGTAGTTGAGACACCTCGGCCATGTTGGGCTTGGTCATCATAACAAGGAAAAACAAGGGTGGAGGGCCTCTAGTTAGCTTTCTATGATTAAGCAAGTGAACTTACAATCGGCAGTTCACAGCTCTTGGACCCAATATACCAAACTTATAATCACTACCCCTATGGAATCATAGCAAACTGATTAATAATGCGTAAAATAGAGTAGGGGTCCAAATGAATTACTTCTCCCACCAAATTAATGAGCATGCCCAAAGCTTGAAAATAGCTAACATTTATATGAAGGTTTATGTTTTGCACAGCATCTTATGTTATCTTATTTGGTCCTCACAACAGCCCTGGAAGATAGGTGCTATTATTATCCCCATTTTACAGATGGGGAAACTGAGGCAGGCAGAGGTTAACTGACTTGCTCAGGGTCACACAAGTAATAAGTATTTGAGGCTGGATTTGAAATCAGGTCTTCCTGGCTCTAGCACCAGAGCTTTGTCCAGTGTGCCATCTAGTTTCCTCTGTTGAAATGAAAAGGAGACTTAATGGAATAAAAAATGACTGTATGTGTGTGTGTTGTATATATGTGTATACACATGTGTATGTTCTTTTAAAAAATACTTTTGCTCTCTCCCTTTTTAATGACATAGGACACAGATTATAAGCCAGTGCCTCTGAAAGCTGGAGAAGCAGAAGAGTACATGTTGGCCCTAAAACAGGAGTTCAGAGCAACCATGAAAAGAACACCTTATTTTATGGACACAGAGGAAGAAAAACAAGGTGTGTGTGTGTTTGTGATGATTTTTTGTGTTTATTGATGTAACAGTGCTAAAGTACAAAGATGGTGCTCAATTAATGCACATTGGATAGAATTCAAATGTAAATCTATAGAAATAGCACATTTTTTTCTGTATCTCCAGAGAAGATAATGTTGGCTGGTTTTTTTAAGCTTACTTTTTTTTGGGGGGGTGGGGAGGATGGGGGGTGAGGCAGTTGGGATTAAATGACTTGCCCAGAGTCACACAGCTAGTGAGTGTTATGTGTCTGAGGCTGGATTTGAACTCAGGTCCTCCTGACTCCAGGACTGGTGCTCTATCCACTGCACCACCTAGCTGCCTCTGAAGCTTACTTTTCTCTTGCTCTGATTTACCTGGATAGGTGGTGTTTAAACTTTCAATAGTGCAGGTCACTAGAATAGCATTTTTGACACTGTCCCTGATTGCTCTGTTACTTCAGTAAGATGAAATATTTGATAAAAGTAGCTTACAATCATAGCACGTTGGAACTATAAGGGATTTTGGAAATCATCTTGTTTTACAGATGAGGAAGCTAAGACCCAGAGAGGTTGTGACAGAGCCAGGGGAAATGATATAATGAGTAAATATTTGTTGAATTGTACATTTGTTGAAAAGTACATAGCTTACTTATAACAAATCAGGATTATCTTTATTTATGAAAAGCATCGTCAACATCAATTAATGCTCTTTACATGTACATTCACAGGACTATTAACTTGAGAGTAATTTCTTTGGATGTAAGGACTCTGTTTTTGTAGTCTCCATGAGTAGCGTTTATCACATAGTCATGTATAACTGCTGCCTTAATACATTTTAATTGATTTTCATAATCCTCATATGTCAAAAAGTCCTCAGAATGTTAACAAATACTAGTTAAGTAGGAACCCTGAGCCACTGCAGAAGAGTCATCTGAGATATCTTCTCATATATACCATTGTAGCTTTAATTTGTTGGCCTAGAAGGGAAGATAACCGGTTATATGCAAGGCCACCAATACACGTTAGATAGCTTTAAGAAGTCATAATACTGGAGATAATAATGCATACCTGTATGTTTCAATTATAAAATTCTAGTTTGTTTTAAAATGTTTGTTTTATAGAAAACAAAATTAAACATCTTATTTATTGATCTTCTTAGCGGTGAACTTTGTAGATCCAGGGGTTCTGCAAGATACTAATTGATCTCCATGTTCACAGTATAACAGATCCTAGCTCCAGGAAAGGCAAAACTTACAGAATCATAGGATTTGATAGTTGGAGGGGTCTTCATCAGCCATCTGCAAAAGGAATTCTCAATTCCCAATCTGACCTTTTCTTAAAGACCCCCCACCTCTTGAGATTGCTCATGCCACTCCTGAACAGTCCTAATTAATAAGATTTTTTTCCTGACATCAAGCCTGAATATGCATTTTTTTCAGCTCCTGTCCATTGTTCCTGGTTTTTTGCTCTGGCAACACAACAATCAGATTCCTCCTCCACATCCATGGTGGTCCTTCAGACACTTGAAACTAGCTATCATGTTCTCCCAGAGTCTTCTCTTCTCCAAGTTGTACATGCCCCGTTCCTTCAACTGGTTTTCATATGATATGAACTGGAGGCTGTTCACTATGCTAGTTGCTCTTTTCTGAAAACCCTCCTGTTTGTCAGTATCCTCCTTCAACCATGGCACCCAGAATTGGGTTCACTGCAGGCAAAGTCTGATGTGGGCAGAATACAGTGGGACCCTTATATCCCTATTCCTAGAGTTTTGTCCATCATTGGCATCTAGGATCACATTAACTTTTTGGTTGTACATTGTGTTGCCAACTCATATTAAAATTGTAGTTCACCTAAAACTCCAGATCTTTTTCAGACAATATATGGTCTAACTGTACCTTACTCTCTTATACTTATGAAATTGATATTTTTTTCTTGTATGTACATGTAAGACTTTACATTTATTCATGTTGAATTTCATCTTATTAGATTTAGCAAGTGTTTTGGTCTGTCAGGATTCTTTTGGATCCCAACTCTGTCATCCATTGTGTTAGTTATCTTTACAAACTGTGTCTTCTGCCAGTTTGATGAGTGTGCTATTTATTCCTTTATGCAAGTCATTTATAAAAATGTTAACTGCCATAGGGCAAAGAACAGATTTCTGGAGGAACCATTATTATTGCCACATTGACAATTCATTAAAAATTCTTCTTTAAGTCTGACCATTTAACCTATTCTGAATATAGTTAATTATATGATTATTCTACCTTCTCCACAAAAATATTAAGAGATACTTTATTAAAAGAATAAGCACTGGACCTGTGATTCCACTGCTATTGGAAATTCCCAGGTGAAGAGACTCCCTTTATTATAAGTCAGTGGCACCTTTCCTGCAATTTACAGTTTAAGAGAGAGGGTTCCTAAGGGTACTGAGCGATTGAGTGACTTGTCAGGGATCACTAGATCTATTTGTTGGAGGCAGGACTTAAATAGAGGTCTGTTTGGCCCCAAGGCCAGCTCTCTTACCTACTGGGACACACTGCCTCTACTTTATCAAAAGCTTGGCAAAAATCAAGGTAAAATGTATCCTTAGCCTTCCCTTCATTGATTAGTTTAGTGATTTGATCTCAGTGAAGCCATGTTGGTTCTTTGTCATCACTACTTTCTTTTTTTGGATTTTAGACCCTATCTTTTTTAATTTTTTTTTTAGGCAATTGGGGTTAAGTGACTTGCCCAGGGTCACAGAGCTAGTAAGTGTCAAGTGTTTGACACTTAGAGGATTTGAACTCAGGTCCTCCCGACTCCAAGGCCGGTACTCTATCCACTGCGCCACCTAGCTGCCCCCGACACTATCTTTTTAATGACTTTTCTCAAAGTAGTCAAGCTCAGGGCTTATAGTTTGTAGTCTCTATTCTCTTCCCATTTTCAAAGTCCAGGTTATTTTCCCTTTCCCAATATTGGGGTACCTTTCTTTAGTTTTGGAAATCTCATCAGTCACATCAGCTGGTTCTTTCATTACTTGAGTTCATCTGGGCCAGATGACTTGAATTCATCAAGGGCATTGTAGGTGCTGTCTTACTCCTCATTCATTTTGTGTTTCAGTTCCTCTTTATTTTATTCTGTGATTTCCACTCTCAAGGTCATTCTTCTTGGTAGACAAAAAAAGCAAAGTAACAATTGAGCTCTGCTTTTGTAGTGCCAACCTTCCCAAACAAAGTCTGTATCTCTTTTTTTTTATTCCTTTTCTCCCTCCACTATAGCTATTTTAAATACCTTTTTAATTGCCAGCTTTAGCTCATTTTGAGCTTTATAATTTCAAACACCGTTCCACCACACTTTTACATTCATCCTCTGTTACGTGCCCTTGCTTCAATCTTCTGTATAGTTCTTTTAAAATCTAAGTTGGTAGGTGAGTTCCTTGTGTATTCATAGCGATCTTGAGAAAACACTTATTTCCTTCTCATTTTTGGAATTGTTTCCCTTTGTGTCTTGAGCATCTCTTATCCTTCTGGGATGAATTCTTCCCTGGTGACATCTTAATCCATGGGATCCTACTTCTTTCCTCCAGAGCTTTTAAAATTATTTTTTCAACATCTGGAGTGCATCTCAGATTGTCCCCAGATTTCCTTTCACTCATAAACTCTAGGAGGGATGGCCACTTCTTCCTGAGGTTTACATCATTCCCACCCCAGCACCAAGTTCCTTCTGGTTAGTGAGAATCAGATCCGATACAGAATTCCTTCTTTTTGTTTCTTCCATTATTAAAAAGGATGAACTTATCACTAAGTGAAAACGTTATCACTATGCTTTTGGCAGAGAGAGAGAGAGCGCTTTAGGAAAGGTCTGGATAATTAAAGTCTCCTGATTCTGCTGTATCATTCTTTTGTGCCAGGCTTGAGATCGAGTTGCCAAACTCTTCATCTAGTTCCCTTTCCCCTCAGTGGTCTATAGAATGTTGTTGTTGAGTCCCTTCAGTCGTGACTGACTGAAATGATCCTGTTTGGGGTTTTCTTGGGTAAGATACTGGAGTGGTTTGCCATTTCCTCCGCCAGCTCATTTTTCAGATAAGGAAACTGAGGTAAACAGGGTTAAGTGACTTGCCCAAGGTGACACAGGTAGTAGGTGCTTGAGGCTGGATTTTAATTCAGATCTTCCTGACTCTAGGCATGGCACTCTATCCACTGTGTTAGCTGGCTGCCCAAACTGTAGCATACTTCAGTGATAAAATTTATTTTTTTCTTCTTTTGACCTTCACTGAAATAATTTCCATCATGCTTCCTCCATCTAGTTCTGGATTTCCCCACGTAAGCATATTCTCTTAATATGCATCTCTCCATCTTTATCTTATCTTTTTTCTTTTGAATATTTTTGACTGTGTCCATTCAGGGCCTATGGTCCCTGTCATAAACTTTAATCTGTAAAGTCTCATTAATACCTCTGAGGTCAAATTTACCTCCTTGCGTCTAATTCTTTTTGCTAATGTGTGCATAGGCCATGGGTTTTACTACTACTTCTTTCTTGGATTCTGTTCAAGAATTTCTAGATATTTCAATAGGTATTCCGCTCCTTTTTGGTAGATATTGATTTGGGATAACTTGAGGGATTTTCAGAGGCAGCCTTCTCTTTCTGTCTCCTTGTCCATTTTTGGTTTAAAGCCCTTTTGATTAAATTCATCCTTTTCCATCAGTGACTCTATTTGGTTTTGACTCCATGGAACATCATTCCTCCTCCAGGATAAGCTGATCACCTGAAATCTCATCATTGGGCAAGTTGTCTCAGTTTTTGATCCTCAACACTCTCTCAGCTCCCTCAGTTGCCTCTTCCCTCTCTGATTGAAAGAATGGAGGGTAGAACAATAAACTAGTTCAAAAGCATTGTCTATCAGCAGCTCTGCTTGTTTTGACTCCATGAAACATTGTTCCAGTGCTGGGTACCACCTAGCAGATCTTCCTTTTTTGATTTGTCTTCCTCCGTTACATTGTAATCTCTTTGAGGGCAGAGACTCTCT